AACAGTTTCCAAATATGTTTTAGTAGAATCCGCCATTATAACAATAATTGCCCATTACTCGTAAAGTAAAAATATGTAACAGGTACACTATGCAAGTACTATATATGTATATTATTTGCTCAGGATCAATAGACAGCCGATTTAGCTAATCATTTTTCCGTGTGAACAGCTGAGACTGTAGCATGTATCTGTAGGAACGCTAAAGTTTCGGGAACTATAGGTGGCAGAAAGTTGGGATTGCGCATTCATCTTCTTTTGCTATCAGGCCACGCCCACTCGTTAGCCCGCAAATAGTAAAAAACTACGGCGTCCATAATATATTAAATGCTATGTTATGTATATTGAATTGTTTTTTTTTGGCATGAAAGTGTTAAAGGTATTTTTGTTAATACATTAAAAGAACATTATTTATCTTCTTACTAAAGGTAAAATGTATACCTGCGTCAGTTTCTGACAGAATTCCTATTTTAATTGGGTTTATGTTTCGCTATATTTTCTTATTTCTTGAATTCTATGGTTGCTCAGCCTCGTGGTAACGTTTTTTTTTAAAATTTGAAATAAGTCTGGCAACATTGAAAATGTTCAACACCACTTACCAGTTGGCAGTGTTTAAATCATTTAACTTGAGAAAAGCGAGGCTATAGAGAATTGGCGGGTTTTTCACCATTGTCGAAAACCAAACAAATTAATTTTTACGTTTATGAATTAAAATTTGTATTTTAATAAATATTTCCAATGAATTTATTTATGCTATATTTTTTGTACTCCTTTTTGGTATCAGCAAAGGAATAAAATGAGATTCATTCGACTTCCGATTCCCATTTGCCTGTTTTAACAGTCCTCGGCTGATTAAAATATTATTGTTATTATATCTTCATATTTGTAGGTTATCTATGATTATATTGGTTTCCTACTATTAAGTATTTGTTAAAAATATTATATTTATATAACATAGTTTTACGGTGGCTGTTTCCTGACGCCTCTGAGTAACTAATTAGCCTAGTTGAGCGCCAATGAGTATTTATACCCGTTACTCGTAGATTAAAAGGGTATACTAGATTCGTTGAAAAATATGTTACAGTTAGAAGGAACCGTTTCCGACCCTATAAAGTATATAAATTCTTGATCAGGATCAATAGCGAAGTCAATTGAGCCATGTCCGTCAGGAACTGAAACAGATACAAAGTTAAGATTAAGCATAAAGATTCTTTAGGTCTCTAGACAGCGCAAGCTTATTTCAGCATCCTGCCACGAGCACTCTAACGCCCACAAATTGCGAAAAACTAAAATCGCTGAAATCTCGGGAACTATTAGACCTAGAAAGTTAAAATTCAGTATGTATAATCTGTGGATGCCAGCGCATCTTATGGTAGTACTATTATCCGGCCACACCCACCCATACGCCCACCAAGCTCAAAAGAGGGTTTTCGCATTTTCTATAAAAGCTGATAACTCGGTACCTATAAGTGATAGAAAGTTCGGATTAAGCATATAGGTTCTTAGGTGCCCCTTATGCGAATTGTTTTTTTCCGATTAAGCCACGCCCACAAAACCCGAAAAACCTAAAATGCAAAAATCTCGGGAACTATAAGAGCTACAAAGTTGTGCTTAAGAAAACTTATTTAACAGATGCCACTGCAACTTGGCACGAGTTTTCATCCGTCCATTTGGGATTTAGAAAGTCATCACTGATAATGAATAATGTAATAATTTGATTCCCAGCTCGGATCAATACCTGGTGGCGTTGGAAGCTCAAAATCGTAACCTCATTTGAAATAATGACAAGAGGACACGCTATTGTCGAGTGCTGCGACTATAAGATACCCGTTACTGTTTTACACAATTTTAAAATATTCATTTTGCTTGTGGAAATTCCCCAAGCGCCACCTATTGTCGGAGAAAGCATGTTGATGTCACTGATAGTGACATCACTGCCCATATGAGGACTTATAACCTGCATTTCTTCCTAACTAGCGAAATAATGTTATGATTTAAAAAATCTTTGGTAAATTGATAGATATTGACAAAAATATGTTATACAAGGTCAAACAAAGGCATTTATAATAATATTCTAGACGCCACAGTTTTTCGCGATTCGTGGCCGTTACAGTGGGATTGGCAGAATGCGCAAATAAACTTGCGCTGCGTATGGACCTGAAAAAACTTTACTTCCTCAGATCTCAGCGTTCATACGGACGGACGGTCGGACAGACGGACGGACAGACGGATGGACAGACGGATGGACAGACGGATGGACAGACGGATGGACAGACGGATGGACAGACGGATATGGCACAATCGACTTCGCTATTGATCCTGATCAAGAATATATATACTTTATACGGTCGGAAACGTTTCCTTCTATCTGTTACATACTTTTCAACGAATCTAGTATACCCGCTTACTCTACGAGTAACGGGCATAAAAATAATAGAGCACCGAATGAAAGCTTTCCACGTCGCACTGCTTAAGTGTAGCTCAGACAGAGAGGTGGTGTACTCCGTTGGACCTAATCTTTACCGACAATGCGATCGAAGGTAGTGATCTCGTGATTGCGTTAAGCAAAGCTTTGGCTGGTCGCAGTTTAAATACTAATACTAAACCAATCAAAAATTTGAACAGGCGTCCAAACTCCAAAGAACGTTTCGCTGAGTATGGCAGTTGCATCGTCTCTTTTTTATCTCTAAATAAAAAGCAAAGGACTTAAAAGAAATCGCCGTATCAGTGACGTTGCCCACATGGCACAAATTGACCCTAACTTGTTGCGTTCGGTGTTTACTACGAATGTGACGACTCCAAATGAGCTTAAGCAGCAGCTGCAGGCTTATGCTTTCAAGAAACGCATCAACGGGGATAGATATTCGACTGGCCCGGACAAAAAGAAAACCACGATGCAGTCGCAATTTAATTGCTATTTTTGTGGAAGGGCTGGCGACAAATATTCTGAATGTCGCTCTCGATTGGAGAAAGAATCAGACATAGGGAGTAACACCGCGAATGATCATTTACCCATAAGGTGCTACAAATGTGACGGAATTGGACATGTGACTTCGGCATGAACCACGGTTGTACTAGTAGAAATGGCAAGAGCTACGAGAAGAGAGTTGACATTTGAACATTAACTCCACCAAGAGGAATCATTTTGGAGCCGAATGTTCGCTGGTCAAGGAGTGCTGCGAAAAAAATTAGAGAAAAAGAGATTTCTTAATATTGTAAATCTAAATGGCAAGTACTGAGTACTTCAATTATATGAAGAATCTTTTTTGGAAGTTTTATTCTATGTAGTTATGGACAAAAATTTCAAGCATAGACGGCACTGGTCAGTGTGAGCCTAAGACCCAAAAAAAAACGAGAGCTAGACGCCACAGGTGATCGTGCGTCTAAGACCCTAGAGGGGAAAGAGGGCATTGATGACTGGTGATCATGCGTCTAAGGACCGAGAGGGGAAATAATGACCTCACTATAACTCCTGACCGACAGGGATGATAAGTGTTGTGGCGGTTGTCAAGATAATTGGGTGCATGTGCTTGCACAAAAAAATGACGATTCAAAGAAATAAAGAAGAATTAATAGGGAATATCGATAAAAAGCCACCTGGGTAAGCGATATAGCGAAGTTCCATTCGGCTGGGATAATTTTGAAAAATATGCAGGCAAAGCTAAAAATTAAGGGAAATAAGACGAATCTTTTGCATCACCTTAGAGACATGCAGTAATATTTTGATCAATCAAAAATACGTTGGGCCCCAATCGAATTTAAGCCTTGATAAATTTGTAAGCAAAGTAAAACATAACGAAAATGGCTCCGCACGAAAAAAATGCATTTGATGAAGCTAATAGTGCAACTTATAGCAATTGATTTGCAACCCATTAATGTCATAAAGGAGAATGGTTTAAGTAATGTGATAAATGTATTGAATCCCCGTTATAAAACACTCAATAAAAAGTTTTTGCAATGAGCTTCTTGACAGGAATTACAATATTATTAAAAAACACTCAAAAATAATTTTGCAAGACATTAACCATGTTTCTTCGACAGCAGATTGCTGGACTTAAAAATCGCCAGACGGATAGCTGGTCATTTTATAAATACATGTTTTGAAGAATTTTCCACAGACTTGGCAACACATTAGCTTTCCAAGATTTTCGCATTTTTGGTTTTTCGGGGTTTGTGCGCGTTAGAGTGGGCGTTGCGTGATCGGAAAAAAACAATTCGCATTGGGAGCATCATAAAAACCTACACGCTTAATCCGATGCGCTTGCATCCAAAGATAACACATACTGACTTCCTAGCCCTAATAGTTCCTGAGATTTCAGCAAGATTAGTTTTTCGCGATTTGTGGGCGTTGAAGTGGGCGTGGCAGGATGCTGAAATAAACTATTTTCGAAACGATTGCCTGAAAGATTTGCAGCTTACCAAGAAGAACAATATCAAGAATTGCTACCTTAAAAGAGGTTTTAGGTAAGGTGGATTTTACACGTTTTAATGCCGACGAGGCTGTAAAAGCTTTAGTACAAAAACTATCCGAGAACATTTTCTCAATATCTTTAAAGAAGCCTCCAACCACCTGATCTACCGAAGCGAGCACGACTTGATTTTTTAAAATTTAGCATAGGACCTCAAAATGTTTTTGGTTTTCCGCTCGTTAGTCGTAGAGTAACATTGAATGAAATTCAAATTGAAAAAAAATAAATTCGACTTAATATATAAACATTTTTTCACAATTTATTAATAAATGCAGGTTATGTAGGTACATGGCCAGTAACGTCACTGTAAGTTGTTAAACAATTTTTTTCTGAAGAAAGGTTGCGCTAGTAATATTGTTCGCTGAGTTAAATTCTGCTAGCAAAATTTTTACTTTACAAGTTGACGCAGTCAAAGGTATCTCAGAGACATTCATAATATTAAGATTATAACTATTCTCAAACAATTCTCCGATGTCCAAACCTTAAATACCCTGAAATGTCTCAAAGCGTGTAAAATTATTCATGGGAACTTACCGTTCATGGGGCGTCCGCTGAGACAGCTTCTCAATGCTGCGCCATCCTAGGTACGGCTGACGGTAAGAATTGCGCAACACTCCACTACTGCTGGCCACTGACGTAAAGCTATTATTGATAATTGCCCCACGGGAAAAGCTAACGCGTTGCGGGAAAGTGAGAGACGTCTGGGTGGAGTTAAGGTGCGAAGTAGACCAGCGAGTGTCACCGACCACAGTCCGTCTAGAATTTAAGATTTGGCCGCCGTGTTGGCTGTGGGCGGATGGACTCATCAGAAGGGGACTTCGGTTAGAGCGATGAGATCCCAGAGAGCTCAGGGAGGTCGTCTTTGAATTAAGCGCCTGCCAACGCCCAGACTCCTGAGTACGCTCGCGCGTAAGGCTGCTAGGTCGGTAACAGCCGGTGAATGCACCCGTGACGGCATTTCGGTCATCTGATTCATGTCCGGTTTCTTTATTATAGTGGCGAAACCAGTCGGGGATATTCAGACGCTGAAGAGATGCCTGAACCCGCTGTTGGTACTCGCTCAGGGCGGACGGATTATTGTCATGCGACTTCTGCAGCTCGTTTTCAGGAGGCTGAAAATTAATTAACAGTGCCATAAAAATTGTGGTCCGTAAATTTGTATAAGCTAATAAAATATATTAATAAACGTACAGTCTTTATATCTCCTTTGCGTTCTTAGTAAGGTTCAAAGAACGAAACCTTTCATGCCTTTTATACATTTTTTAAAGAAAAAAAATAAAAGTTTTTACTCTTATGAACACTTAAAAAATATGTAATAAATTCGATACCAGCTAAGACAAATTAAACTTTTATGAAGATTCTTGAGGTCCCTACGCAGCGCAAGTTTATTAGAGCATTCTGCCACGCGCACTCTAACGACCACAAATCACGGAAAAAATCTTTCTAGAAAAGCTGATATCTCGGTAACTATACGTGATAGAAAGTTCGGATCAAACATATAGGTTTTTATGATGCCCCTAAAGCGAATTGTTTCCGATCAGGCCCCGCCCACTCTAACGCCCACAAAACCCGAAAACTAAAAATTCAAAAATCTCGGGAACTATAGAACTAGAAAGTTGTACTTAAGTATAGGTATTTAAGAGATGCCACTGCAACTTGCCTTATGTTTTAATCTGGCTAAGCTCACTCTAATGCCCACAAACCGTGGAAAACTGTGGCGACCATAATATTATAGTGTATGTCTTTCGACTATAAGATACCCGTTACTGTTTTATACAATTTTAAAATATTCATTTTGCTAGTGGAAATTCACAAGGCGCCACCTATTGTCAGAGAAAGCATGTTGAGTAACTGATAGTGACCTTACAAACCATATGAGGCCTTATAACCTAAATTTCTTCATAAATAGCGAAATAACGTTCCGATTTAAAAAATCTTTGGTTATACAAGGCCAAAAGATGCCATTCATAATAATATTATAGGTGCCACAGTTTTCCGCGGTTTGTGGACATTAAAGTGGGCGTGGCCGGATGAGAGATTTTTGCATTTTTGGTTTTCCGGGTTTTTTGGGCGTTAGGGTGGGCGTGGCTAGATGGGTAAAAACAATTTGCAGTTCGGGCATCAAAAAAACCTACATTCTTAATCCGAACATTCTATCTCTTATAGTTACCGAGATATCAGCTTTTTTACAAAAAACGAAAACCGTATTTTAAGCTTGGTGGGCGTATGGGTGGGTGTGGCCGGATAAGCGGATAGAAACTTTCAGCAAAATAACTTAATAAATATCCCAACACTTTAATAAAGGAGATTTTAACAGCTGGCACAGAAGCTGGGGTATGCTCAAGCCAAGATAAATAATCAATCAAAAGATAAAAAGGCGCAGGCAGAATTATTAGCTACCCTTCAAAATCCTTCGGTAGGAGCATTTTTAACACTCTAAAACGAAATCTTAGTCGCGACAGAATACCCTACTCAATGCTCAAGAAGTTATCCTTTCCTGCAATTAAAAGACTCATAGACCTTTACAACAATATCCTCAATAATCATGTCGGGAGAAGTCATCAAGCTAATGCCAAAATCATGGTTTAGAATTTGGTTAGCATCACTATACGCTGAATTATCTATTTAATCTGAAGACAAGCCGAGATAAGGGGTCGCGAGTCGCTGATCGCTCGGCTCGTTTCATTGCATTTCGTTTTTTTTGGCTGTAAACACGCAGTCTCAGCATTCTCAAATAAATTATCGAAAATAAAATCTCTCGGCCTTTTTCTTTTGCACTGTTTTTATATAAAATTTATAAAAAAAAATTGCATAAATTAATGCCCTCCTCAAAACAAATCATATCCCCCAAAAATTAAAGAACTACTACTATTATTCCCATCTACAAAGCGGGTACTCAAAAAACATTAATAACTTCATATCGCCAAGTTTCCCTACACCCATGCATCGCCAAAGTCAATGAGTCGTTGCCAACAGGCTGTTGGACTTCTCGATAGGCGATAACTAGACTTTCGAAAGTATAAGTCGGTATATCTGAGAGCCGGTTCGACAATAAGACACCTGTCAGTGTCGGAAAACATACGGTAGTTGACTAACTGATAAGGTGGAAAATAGGACGTAGAATACTCAGTTACGTGATAAGATTTCTACAGCAACAGGAGAATAACAATCAGAATCAAGATGGAATACTCTGAGAGCAAAGCTCTGTACAATGACACCTCGCAGATATCCTTTTCCTGACAGCGTATAAGCGCATCGACTCATTGGTAGTCCAAGTAGCAAACCGTTTAAACATCGTAAAATGGTTAGCAAAACACACATTTGGAGCCTTACCAATTAATGTCAACAGAACAAAGATTGGAGCTTAACACAGCAAAGCACACCGCTTCGAAATACTTTTCAAAAGATCAGAAAACTACACGAAAGTCAAAACTCCAATCAGTACTACAAAAATTATTAATGATCTCAATCGAAAATAGCACTTTGACCGCTAGAACCGATCAAAAAATACTTGGTTTCATTAAATTTGACTGTTTAAACCTATCGTTACACTACACAACAAAATCTACCATTCCACCGGAAGTATTTAAATTAATATTTATTGCATTGAAGAAAACATTGAATGACTTTAAATTAATATACACGGACGGAGCCAAATCCATCCACGGAGCAGCATAAAACATCAAAAACGATTATCAAAACAGTCCGTTTTCCAATACACATCTCAATTTACACAGCGGAAATTGCTGTCATATATGCCGCGTGTAAAAACGAACAAGAACAAGTGCATTAGAGTGGGCGTGGCCAGATGGTGAAAAAATAATACGCCTTGGAGGCGTCATTAGAAACTACATGCTGTAATCCCAATTTTCTATCAGGTATAGTTACCGAGCCGTTCTACAAAAAGCGAAAACAGTCTCTCGAGATTGGTGGGAGTCAGAGTGGCCGTGGCCGGATAATGGTACCACCATAAGATGCGCTGGTGTATCAAGATCATGCATATCTAATTCCAACTTTCTATCTCTAAGTTCCGAGAGTTCAGCGAATTATGTTTCCCGTGATTTGTGTGTTAGAGAGAGCGTGGATGGTGAAATAAACTTGCGCTGAGTGGGGACCTCAAGCTCTTCATGCTTAATCTCAACTTTTTATCTCTTATAGTTTCTGAGATCTCAGCATTCAAACGGACAGATAGTAGTAACTGAGTAATATTTAAATTGAATAATAATGTTTAGAAGTTGTATTTTATTGATTGTGGGCCAAAGACCCAAGAGGGAAACAAGAGCATAGACTGCATTGTGTGTCTAAGACCCCGAGGGGAAATGAGAGCATAGACGGCTCTGGTAATGGCGGTCTAAGACCCGAGAGGGGAACAAGAGCATAGACGGCACTGGTGATTGTGTGTCTAAGACCCGAGAGGGGAACAAGAGCATAGATGGCATTGGTGATCGTGCGTCTAAGACCCGAGAGGGGCTGTCTCACAGGAATGAGAAGTGTTATGGCGGGGGTCAAGAACCTGTGTGGATGCTTGGCCGTAGCTTATGTGGTACTGCACGATGGATAAATAGTGGGAGTCTAATTGGAAAAGAATTGCAATTTAGGTTCGAAAAACTGTTAAAGTGAAGAGTGATATGTGAAGTGTGAAGTGTGATATGTCAGGAATGCCGTTTCGCAGCGATTCACTCAGCAATCCACTCTAAGCTGCGGTGGCATCTAAATAAGCTCCTGTAACGGTTGATATTTTAATAGTACCTTTTTTAAAATCGATTAAAACACTCGAATTTGCATCATAAAATAAAATTTTTTATTGGAATAAATTTTGGCCTTTGGCTTTTCGTTTTAAAAATAATTTCATGTATGTCAATGTTGTTCTCAGCTCCGTTTCAAGTGGTCCATTCGAAAGGTTCAATTTTTCAGTTTTTTGGAGCATTTCAGACTGTATTCCACGAATCACGCGTGTTTTGTTATCCGGCAAGGCTTTAATCGTATTAGGCATGTCTAAATAGACTAAAAAGCTTTAAATAACCCCACAAAAAATAATCATGGAGTTGTTCTAACCCATTCACCAAAAACTAAGCGCTGTGGTAGGTCATTATGCTTAAATTTTAGCTGACTTTTATAGGCTCTCAAACCCAAAACAAATCGTAAAATTTTCCACACACAGTGGTGCACATTGGTCCTGGCTTGTATGGGAGAGCGGCCAAAAATACTTGAATACAATGCAACTTGGCACAATTTGTTTTTAATATTTATCATAAAGTAATATATCTGCCATATGAACAATCGGTCTGATATTCAGTTTTTATATGAAAAACTATTGTTTTTCATTCTAATGCAACAATACTTTGGAAATTTTCGTATATAACCTGGAAAACTTCAGTAAAAATCTGGATACTATAGGTTATAGCTGGAACACAGGAACAATGTAAACGAGTGTAAAACGAGTTTTCGCCGGGAAACTATTTTGCCTCAAAATAATAATGACAGAAATTATAAATATATACATATAACAAAAACGAAAATAAAATAAATAATTTTTTTAATTTATAATCAAATATTTACATCAAATATATATATTTACAATTGCACTTGAACTAAACTTTCCTTCATTCTTCAAATGCTTAAGAATATTATACAAAAAGATTTGTTAATGCCAAAGAGTGCCATCACAACTAAAACTCTAAACAAACACAGAAAAGACAAACTAAGAACGTTCACAATTATGTATTAAATACAATAATGATTTACACAAAAGACAACAAATACTACATATACTTTTTGTTGTTAAAAGAAACTTAATACATTTCTTAAAAATATTAATTAATTCCATTGCACAAACACTTGGTTTAAAAAAGTTAACAAATTTTTTGATTCCCTTGCACGTTGCTTACGCTGCAATACACAATGAAAATCATGCTATCTCTTTCTTGAAAAGGACAGGCAGAGCTAAACAAAAAAAAGAATAAATTCAAATATCTAGACCAATTTTAAATAAGAATTGGAACATTAAAAGTCAAAATTTTGATTTTGGTTTTTTTATTTAAAGTAACACATGATCAATTGCTGAGAACGGTATCGAATTGACATTTTACGATTCATAGATCGAAGTTTGTTA